GGGGAGCCTGCTTCTCCCTCTCCCACTCCCCCTGCTTGTGTTCCCTCTCTCGCTGTGTCTCTCTCTGTCAAATAAATAAAATAAAAAATCTTTAAAAAAATAAAAAAATAAAGAGCTCTGGGTTGGGTGTGGGCCAGCCACTTGCCCTCCATGTGGCCTGGGGAGTCATGCACGAGCCCTCTCTGGGCCTCTGTTACCATCGGGGAAGCTCATGTCTGCCTTGCAGAGTTGCTGAAAGTCTCAAATAGGATAAAGCACAAGAAGTCTTTAATCCAGTGATGGCCCCATAGGTGCCCCTAGCTGGGAACTGTGGGGCAAGTGGAAGAGGGACAGCCATGAGGGACATTTACGGAACTGGAACAAAAGGATATAACATAATGAAGAGTCTACGGAGGGACCCACAGCTGGAAAGCAGAGTGCAATCTGAGAGTGGGAGCTCTTGAAGGCTAGGACTTTGGTCTTCAGACTCCAGACATTAGGGAGCCATGGCAGGTTTCTGAGGAGGAGAGTGACCTGGTCAGAGCCATGCTGAGGAGGCAGTCATTGCGTGGTTGCTTCTACCAGTAGCAGCCATGCTCTGGGGCCTGAGGGTGTCACCCGGTCTGTTGCCCTGGCTCTAGCCACTCACCGTGGCCCACCTTTGGCTCTGTGTGTGGGTCAACCTTCACAGTCCCCCCATCTGCTTGTCTGACCCTCACACATTTCTTATGAAGTGAGCAAGACGAGGGATAGAGCTGCCCAAAGTCACCCAGGTCTCCTGCCTGCCTGGAATATAATGGAGCCTGGGGGGCGGGGCTGAGTAAGTGGGCGGCTGGATGGAGGGGGGCATCTTCCCTTCCCTTCTCTCCCCCCTTTCCAGATGACCATGACATCCTGTCCTTCCTGACCTTCAGTCTGAGTGAGCCGGGTCTGAAGGTAATGCCAGCCCTGGGCCGGCCTTCAGGGGAGAGACAGCCCAGGGACCCCTCCCCGCCCCAGATGCTTCTGCTCACATCACGTGCAGTCAGTCCTATCGTCCCAGCCTTTATCTCTACAGCTATCTGTCTATCTCTCTGAGCTCTGCTCAGGCCAGGCCTTGTTCTGGGCAGTGCTGGGGGCCAGAGGTGACCTAGAGCTAGGCCCTGTCCCGAAGCATCTCCCCAGCTGGCTGGGGGCTGCGGGAGCATGGAAGAGGGGCCCTGACCGGCCAGGGGGAGCAGGGAAGGCCACCTGGAAGAGATGAGCTTGAAAGGGCTGAGCGAGGTAGCTAAGAGGAGGAGCAGCGGGGACAAAGGTCTGAGTCCTGAGAGAGTTGGGGAGCTGGGGCAGCAGCAGGAGGGAAGGGTGTGGGGATCAGCAGCAGCTGGGCTGAAACCGCAGGGCCTGGGGGCTGAGCTGAGGGAGACCCAGCTGGAGTGCTCCAGGAGGAGGGTTGGAGGCCCTGTGGGAAAGCTCCCTTCACCTGCAGATCTCCCATGGGTTTCAGGCCTGAGTTTTATCTTCTTTTTCCAGCCTCCCCCCCAGGCCTTTCTGGAGATGGAGGAGCTCCGGCTGGCGAGGCAGCTGGAAGGGCTTCGGGCAAAGCTGGCCCTGGGCCCCAGGAAGGATGCGATTCCACAGCTGAGCTCTGAAGTCCAGGAAGAGGGTAGGGACCCAGGGAGCAAGCAGGTGGGGCAGGGGCCCATTTGAGTACCACAGGATCCTCTTCCCTTCAAACCAGGAGTCCTTTAACTAATGGGGAGATGAAGGTCTAAGGAGGCCATATCTAGCAGACCCTGGGTCCCGGCTACTCTGTCTTATCCCCACCTCACCACCCAGGCAAATCCTTCCAGGGGAGTCTTGGAGGCAGAAGCCATGCCTTTCTGCTCCCCCTCCCCCAAGGCCAGGCCTCTCTGATCCTGCTTCCAAGGAGCCCCCAAAAGATAGGATCTGCTATCTCACTGCAGCTGGCTGCATGTCCCAGCTCTGCCCCAATCTCCAGGGGAAAGAAGCTTTGGCCTGGAGGAGATGCTGGGCAGACACCGCCAGATCCTGCAGGCTCTCCAGGGTCTGTCCCAACAGTTGGCCCAGGCTGAGAGGCAACGGAAGAAGCAGCTGGGGTCCCCAGGCCACACGAGGCCTATGGGAGCCTGGGTGAGTGGCCCCTGGGGCACCCAAGACCCTGCCTGCAGGCCTGGAAAAGCAAGCTCCCTCAGGCACTGGGTCCCTGGCACCAGTGGGCTCCCTCTGTCCAGAAGGAGGAGCAAGCACTATACCTGGGAACTTGTCTCCCCCAAGGTCTGGAGGGAAAGGAGAGCCGGGGTGCGGTGCTGCAGGTGGCAGGATGGGGTGGACCTGCCAGGCAGGGGAGCGTGCGGGAGGGTGGCCCTGCACGAGCACATACCCACGGATCCACGCGGCTGGGTCTGGGGAGAGGAGATGCCAGGTATTTGGACACAGGCTGTAGACAAGTGCCAGAAATAGACTGGGTGCTAATTTGCATGTAGCTCCACATGTGATTTGGTTCACATACGGCTTGCTTAATGCTCAGATGCACCAGAATCCTTGTTTCATCTCCACTGCCATCCTGGCTTTCCCTCCAAGAAGCCGTGCCCCATGGCACGCCCAGCCCGGGGCCTGAGAGCTGGACTCAGTCAAGATGTGAGATGCCGGGCAGAAGAGACCCGTGACTCCTGGGAGCTTTGCTGGGCTCTGGCAGCTCAGGCCTTTCAACTTGTGTCCTCAGGCCAGAGCAGCTGAGGCTGGGTTGCTGGGGG